CCAGGTACAAAGAAAATTGGTCTTTGCAAGACTAAGCCTTTCGTGGCATTTCACCCCAAACCAGGGGTGCGTAAGTAACCATGGAGGCTGGTACCAGCATCTGGCACGCACGGATTGCACTGTTCGGCTCTCGGTTGTGATTGTCTGTAAAGCAATGGGAAATGTCATTAGGGAGCTGGGAGAGGAGAAAAGAGGTTTCTTAAGTACTGCGGTCTTGTACAGTGTAACAAAACTCTTTCTACGAATTAATTAGGCAAATACTTCTGACCATGTCATACCTGAAGGGCACTTAATGGCTCCGGCATTTATCTCGCAAGTACAGTGATCTGAAATACATATGCATTTTCAGCGTAATCCTTCGCCGCTGTAAATCATGCACTGGAATGAGAGCGTATCTGGCAACGTTAATTCAGAGATATCATCCTACAGTTTCTGGCAACGGACCCTGATGAAAATAAATGGTGTATAAACACTGTCTGACATGCATGAGCCTTTCAAAATTATTTACAAGTGATGTTCTGGGAGCTTCGCTCCGAGGAAGTATTTCTCCTCCATTCAGTTTAGATATTAAAATCTGCCGGGTGGGGAGGGGGAGGAAGGTGTCAGCGCTACACAGTCACAGCTGGGTACATCTTCTGTTCGCTGTTGGTGTGGGGGTAGGGAGACTGGATCTGCCTGTAGCCGCTCTGCAAACCGTCGAGGAAAGGGGGCACCGGGGTCAGCGGCATCGAGTCGTGCTGCACAGCGTAGCCCACGTACTGGGGGTGCAGGTACTGCCCCTGGTGCGGCACGATCTGGGTAGCCTGCTGGCAGTTCAGCACCGAGAAGTTCGTCGGCATGTTGACGTAGACGTTATTCATGGTCCCTTCTGGCAAACAGCAGTTGGTCTGGGACCTGGTTGGGGGGGCTCTGGCCCCCGAGTTGGCGCTGGAGCTGGAGCTGGCGGCGGTGCTCGACTGGCGGGAGGAGGAGCCCCGGGAGGTGCTGGCACTTGGGATCATGGGGATAGTCTCCATCAGGCGGGTGCCCCCGGGGGCTCGGCTCTGCTGGGGCTCCTGCTTGGGCCGCAGGCATCTGCAGCAGCAAGCCGCCACCAGCGACCCCAAGATGATGAAGGCAACAAATACAGATCCAACAATAAGGAACGGCACGTAGATGGGCACTGCAACAGCAAGGAAAACGTCGTCACTGGGGGACAAGGACAAACCTCAGCATCTCCGGCAGCAGGTCCCGTCCCCCCCCAGCCGAGCCCACCTCCCCCCAGCGCAGGTCAATGCAGGATGAGCACTAAAAGCTGTGTGTGCAGCTGAGCATTTTGCACAGGGAGGATGAAAAGGGCTGCTAAAACCAGTGGCTGGAGTTTCCAAAAGCATCTTTAAAGTTATTAGCAGGGAGGAAAGCCCACAGCTCACGCCTCGAGGGAGGACGGCTCGCTCCCACTGATGGTGGTCTAATCCACATCAACCACCGCTCCACATCTCACCAGATCTTGTCTCCAATACGCCCCGCTAGAAAACTCAGGCAAGAGAACGCTGGGTCTGAACAGTGCCACAGGGATATACTTTGGGGGCAGGATGCCTGCTCAGGGCTCAGGAGCACGGGGTGGTCAAACCCCAGTGCTGCATCACATCCCTCCCCATTGCAGGCCCTCTCCGGCTGCTGCCACCCCTCAGGGCAGGGGGATAGCCAGGCAGCACCCGAGCAGCAGTCACAGGGACTCTGCCACCCTCCAGCCCCAGGGATGAGTGTCCAGCTGCTCTGCACTTCAGCCCTGGGACTGGGGAGAAACCACGGGGAGGGGCGATAGGGCGACAGCACCATGCTCCAAAGCTTCACTACCAGCATTCCCCCTTGCGAGGCTTAAAGAAGGGACATCAGGGCAGGAGGAGTGAGGGTGGGCGAGGGCTGGGAGCAGAGACTACAGGCGATGCTTCAGCCGTGGGGTCAGGAGCCCGACAAGGCGGATGGCGAACACCATCCTTGGAAGGACCTGGGCTCCAGTTGCTCTGCACTCCCAGGGAAAAAGCCGTTTTCTCTGCCTCAGTAAGAAATCTGCATGGATATATCCAGGAATAATGAGGGGAAGGTGCCTCCCTTCAGCGCTTGTGAACACTCCCAACAACACGCCGGGACTTCATCATTTCCAGCGAAAACCGGCAACCCGGAGACTCAGGCAGGGTTGCGGCCCCCTGCCCGACAGGCGCTAACGCAGCCGCTGCTAACAACGTGCCCTGGGCACAGGGGCAGGGGACGCAGCTGCCCCTCCTGTGAGCTAACCAGTGCCAGCGCAGGGCGACAGCTCCCAAACCCGCTGAGCAGTAAATACTGTTAAGAAAATTAATTAAGAAAAATGCCTTGTTCTCCGAACTGCAAAGGGAGTTATCTGTCCACCCAAGTCAGAATACCTCCTTGCACAGCTGATTATGTGGAGTGAGTTATTAACCAAAAGGCCACATTTCTCCCATAATTTTAGCACTTTTTAAACAAAAGACTTGCAAAAAATTGTCTCTACTTCTGCGCCTGGCGATACAGTAGCTCTTAGCAGGTGGACACGCTTGCTACAGACTGTAACACACAAGTTTTCTGAGAGTAAATCTGTCCTAATTATAACATCACTTCAGGCTACTTCTAGTGCGTTCAGCATGTGGGGATGGCAGCAAGGGTGCTGGGAAGCCACCGAGGCTTTTTTTAAACAGCAGCAGAAAGACTCGAGTTCATCCTTGAAATTCAGTCTTGTAAAAACCAGTCCTAAGCAGGGTATCTGAGCTGGAAGGATGTATACAATTAAAACGGGGACCGGCCAGAAGTAATTTTGAAACGTCACGTTACTCTTTTTTTGTCTCGCTCACATGGGTCGTTTCATTTTTTCCTTCCCTTTTTAACTGGGAGCACAAACAGGGCTGAGGAGCCGATTCAGAGCGGTGGCAGAGCCGCACACGACAACCAGCTTGTCCAAGGCTGTCGGAAAGCGGTCTCACCTACTTCTAAAGAAGACAGGGCCGGACCTTCAAATAATAGGGAGGGAAAAAGACGTATCTAAGCGCGGGTACTTTTTCCCGTTTGACAGCTGCAGAAGCGCTCGGCTGGCCCCACCTCCAGTCCTCCT